TCTTCACATCATATCCCACAAGATAATCAAATTCTGCAAAACTTAATTTTTTAAACATTTTCAACATTAGTTCTGGAAACATAAATTCTTTTACATTTTTTAGAAAATCATTTGAAATGCTGACTGCTTCCAGTTCAAGTAAAGTCCAAAAGTGCAAAAATCACCCAAACAGTTTCTACTACGTTTGTGGAAAATATATTACAGTTTCATAAAGAAAAAAACATCACACACTAGTTACAGGTAGCTTACTACCACTATTTTAGGTGCAAAATTGGGGACCAAGAAGAACATTGGGCTCCGCATGTGTTATACAGTTTGCAAAACTTGCTTGACATAGTGGCTGAATAAGAAGAGAACAATAGCCAAATCATGGGGATGATCTTTCAGTGCTACATCCACCATTGAATTGGGAAACAGAACAACTATCCTGCAAAGAAGGCAATGAATCATCTTCATACTCTTCATCTAATAATTGTATTCCTGTGGCACCTCCACATTAAACTGCCTCATCTGATCACCCAGAAAGAGGTAAATTATCTGATTAGTGACTTGTCTCTGTCAAAGCAGCATGGGGAACTTCTTGGCTCTCATTTTCAGAAATGGAACTTATTAGTTCCAGGAACAAGAATTTCAATTTACCCAAATTACTATCAAAGTCATGCTTCTCACAACAGCATGCAAGATACTTTGTGTTTCTGTACAGATGTCAGAAGTTTTATTGACTCATCTAAAGTTAAGTTGTCCTAGCAAACTGAACACGTGAAGGTTTTGTGATTCCCAGGTGGAGCAGGTGAGTGTGGGAATGAAGCAAAAGTGGTGCAATTCTCTACAATTATATCAAGAACAAATAAACAATATATTTGGAATTTTACTCCAATATAATACAGTCGGTGTGTGAAGTTATCAAAAATGTATGCTTTTTACCCATTAAACTGTCCAAGTAAACTTAATTTCATAGCAAAAATCTATTGTACTGATTTGACTGCATGGTATTTCACATAGTGCTGATAAAATATTGAGATATTAAAATAACTCAAAATCTAGAAGTGAAGGACAAATTCTGACTACATTTTTGAAGTCAGCACCAACAAATTACTTCCAATCACTTGAGTTTTCTTCAACAGAATTTTCTTTTTTTGTCCAGTGTTATTAATTAAAAATTTCTTATTCAATTTTTTCAAGTATTTTTTTTAGTATATTTTTCTTTAATATTTGTATGATGGTTTTCTGTTGTTTACCTTTCACTAATTAATATGAACTAACTATAATTGGATTTTCTTAAAAATATATAGTTATACATATTTTCTTTTATCCCCTTTTCTCTAAACTCCTCAAGTTATACCATCTTGGTTTAAGAGTATCAACCTTATGTGCATTTCAGGGTCCAAGTGTTCATTCCACATCCTTTTAAAAAGTTGCATTCAAAACTGAACTAAACAGTATCGATCTATGTTTATAATTTAAATTTTAATATCTTCATTTCAAAAGGAATAATATTAAAAAAAAATCCTCAATCTCCACTTCTCTGTGTGACATGATCTGTATGTACTCCAAACTACCAATTTTATATTTTCTTTCCACCCATATATGATTTCATAATACAAATTTAGAACCTTCAACCTTCTTGCTTTACCTAGATATAAAACAAATGTCAAGCCCACACGATACATCCCTCCCTTGTCATTCTGAATTTCAAAAATGTCAATAATTCTCTCTGACACTGTTATTGGATTATATGCAACAAATAGAAAGAACAGCCTTTTCTTAACAAGATTACTTATACTATTATCTCATTTTGGCATCTGTAAGTAGGCATTTAATTTTAGTTTTATTTGTGATAATGTTTTTCTGCTCTGAGCAGCAAACAGAATCTTTTAACCTATTTATAACTTAGTTATAAAGTGAGTTAAATGATAATAGTTTTGGAACATTGTATTTGAAAGAAACATTAATGATTTTGTGGGGAATCAATATAGTATGAAAATATTAGTGCTAAGGAAGTATGCTCTCAAGTATAAAAACTAAAATTACCTTCAACCCTAATGTAAGACCAAAATATCTTGTTTTTATATGTATTTTTTTTTTTTACAGTTATAACTTTTCTAACAAAATTACACACTTATTAGATTAGATAACAAAAGGTAAATGAATAAAAAATTTCACAAGACCAATTTGAGCTAACTTGTCACATGATTGTAACTTTTATGGTTATTTACAGAAGTTCTCCCCACTTAGATAGTGACTAAAGTGCATTGCAAAGTACTAAATTAAAAACAAGCAGACATGAAAAGATTAGAAAGCTGAGGCTGTTACGACAGATACTTGTCTGTTACAGTCTGCAGTCATTCTAGAAAAAAAAAAAGGTATTAATTGATTTTATTTTATATTTTTCTTTTTTTCCCCCTTTGATGATTTTACTACAATTAGAGTTAGGAAGAGAAAAAAAGTTGATATTCGTGTATGAGATTCTAGAAGTGAAATATGAAAATTGTATGATGAAAAAGAAGTACTTTTTATTCTTAGCATGAGAATCACTTTTCAACCAGATTGATTCAGTAAAGGCTTCAAAAATTCACATAAAAAATCTTTAACAGAAATACTTTATTAAAAAATTTGCTTTATTGTATACAAGAAGTGCAGTTTCACGGAAACTAGTTCTATCCAATGGACCAATGCCATTGACAGTGTTAACAGGATTTCTGGTCTTTACTGTAATTAAGTATTGTAAGATCTGTGCTTTCTAATAACCCCTTCCAATATTTTCTATTTACTTATTCAAAACTTTTTTCTAAGCATTTTATATAGTTCAATCATACGGTTCATAATTTGACCATTAGGGCACATTTGGGACACACAGAGGTGGCAAACCTTAAGTACAGAGGAAGTTTATAATACATGTTT